AATTAATTATATTAATTAATTATATTAAAGTCAACCCTTATTTTAACCACCCATGAATTATCTTGTACCATGAACACCCAGTGACAGCACAGAATGATATTACTGAAAGAAAACATCCCCCAGGAAGCACTACTTTGAAACAAGACGTAAGAAAAAGCCAAAGAATTTGGCAATGAATTACAACAAATCCACGAGTGGATTTACATTGTATAATACCTACAGATTGTTTAAAGCTTATACTGGCTTAGGCAAAATAGATACTGAGCACTCGTAAAATCAATTAAAAAAAAATCACCAATATCAAATGTGTCAGCACAATATCTCAGTGATTTTTCAGAGTTCAAATATTACTCCTATTTTGTGGCTGGGGAAAAAGAGAACACCGGAAAAATAACTGCAGAATAAACTAGGGTGTGAATTTAGACTGGTCTCAAAAGCATGTGCTTATATTATTCCAAGATAAACAAAAGGCAGTCTATATCCTGCTTTACAAAGGGCAAAAGGAGTTCTGGTTTATGATGCCGCCTTTATTGCAGGCTCTGCAACTGCGCAGGCCCAGCTGCCACAGGGCAACGAGTGCGCTCCCTATGTTCCGAAAACAACTTTCAACAACACTCACCTGACGGTTCACTGATTTAAGAAGCCCCAAAACTGCCCAGTGCATATTTAACAAGGTAATCACTCTAAATTCTTTCTACCCAACTCCCCAAGGATGGTAGCATACATAGAAGTATGAACAAATTGCTCGCAACCTCTGAAGTTTTTCTTGGGAGAGAAAGAAGGTGATTCATATTTCCAGTTATTTGAATGTATTGCCTAGTCGAATTTTCTCCAACAGATAAGGTCCAGATTTCCAAACGGGTAGCAACAACCTGGCCTTCTGAAAACAAAACTTAATCCACTATGTCTTGCATTTTCCACAGAAAGAAAACACCGTAACAGAAGATACAGAGAAAGTAAGTATTTCTGAACAAGGAAACGACCTTTCAGAAGTATAACCCTACCTGAGTTGTGCTTTAAGTTCAGTAAACCTGGGTCGCCTACTAGGGTCGTATGCCCAGCACTTGGTCATAAGGCTGTAGAGGGTAGGAGGGCAGTTCGGAGGCATTGGGAGCCGCTCGCCGTTCTCAATTCGCCCAATCACATCGTTGTTCTTCACTCCCTGGAAAGGCTTTACCCCATGCATTAGGATCTCCCACATACACACACCTGAGAAACATACACAAAAATTTTTTTCCTAGTGTGAGCAAACAACAAAACCCATTAAAAAAAGAAACAAATCCCAATTTTGTACAGCCAAACAACGCGATCTTTTCTGAAGCGTATAGCTAGGGAATCAGCTTTGACTTACCGGCTGGCAGCAGAGAGGAGTGATGGGCAGGACGGTTACGCACGCGGTATCAACCTGAACTATTTATGAGGAAGCATGACCCACAGCTGGCTCACGGCAGCCTGGCGTCACAGTTAGCTACCTTTTCCCTGCTGTAAATCCGAATGGTTGCTCATATTCAAATCTACCTTTTTTATGAGTAGAATGAGCTGTGTTTGCTTTTCCCTCTGACTAGTTCCAACTGGCTTGTTTCAACACGTAGAGCACATTTTCACTTTAAGGGTGTTCTAACGCTGGCATCGATCCAAATTTTTTGTGCTGAAACTATGTAATAAAACAGTTTCTGGTCAAACTGTGTTAGAAGCACAAAGGGAAAAAGGATCTGTCAAGTTTAGGGTTGGCCAGAATGTTCTGTAAGCTTCATTTTTCTAACTGCAGACTGTACTAGAGTTTTCTTCAAACTGTTATAAACCTGCTAAAATTCACACACCCTCTCCTCAAAAACACTCCCGTTTTATTTTGTAAGTAGGGTGCACCCTTACTTGTCTGTCCTGCTCTTACTTCAAGTCTCATCATCTTTGTTTCCTACCACAGCCAACTTTTGCTCTTGTCTGTCCAGACCAGTAGTCTGGACCAGTTTGAGCACAGGTGACCAGATTCATATAAAAACTTGCCTATTTAGGAAAAAAAGATCAAGGTTTCAGGATATGCCCGTTTACCCTTATTTTTACTCAGCTTCTGGTCATATTTTGTAAGCCAGCAGGAGCTATCAAAGACAAGCAGGAATTTAGCATTAAAGATCTGGAAGCAGGACATCATGTAGGCTGATCTAAGGAAACAGGCCTATCACCTGCTAAAAATATAAACAGAAACAGCAAATAACAAAATATAACAAAAGAATCTGAGGGAAAAACAGCAGTAAAAAATCCTCTCTGTTATGACTATGATCCAATTTCTTTCTACCTTCATTTCTGCAAGCTTCTTACTAGGGGTGAAAAGACACATGAAGAAACTTCAGGCTCACTGAGTAGAAAAAGGAAAGAAAAATACAGAGATGGAAAATGTGCTGGAAGAAAACCGGATTTTCAGAAAGTAGAGTAAAACCAGTGCCAAATATCTGGAAATTATTCATTTAGAGTAGTTAAAACAAAACACTGAACTTCTCCAACTGGACACTTAAGAAACCTCACCGTTTGGTCCTCACTTACCAAACATCCACACATCACTAGCTGAGGTAAACCGTCGGAAGTTGATTGACTCTGGAGCCATCCATTTGATAGGCAATTTTCCTTTGGAAGCTATGGGGAAGGCAAGACAAAGCAGGCTTTTATTGCTACTACTGAGCTCAAAAATATGATTTTGTTCTCAGTGAAAAAAATTGCAGGCAAAACCCATCTCTGGTGAAGCACTTCAACTATGAAATTTTGTACATGGGATTTTGTGCACTCTCTGACCAGTTCTGGGCTTGTTCACCCTGGAGAAGAGACGGCTCCGGGGAGACGTTATAGCACCTTCCAGTACCTGAAGGGGCTACAAGGAAGCTGGGGGGGACTTTTTACAAGGGCCTGTAGTGACAGGACAAGGGGTAACGGGTTTAAATTGAAAGTGGGGAGGTTTAGATTAGGTATCAGGAAGAAGTTCTTCCTGGAGAGGGTGGTGAGGCACTGGAACAGGTTGCCCAGAGAAGCTGTGGATGCCCCATCCCTGGAAGTGTTCAAGGCCAGGTTGGATGAGGCTTTGAGCAACCTGGTCTAGTGGAAGGTGTCCCTGCCCATGGCAGTGGGGTTGGAACTAGGTGATCCTTAAGGTCCCTTCCAACCCAAACCAGCCTGTGATTCTACTGGTAGTCCTCTATTTGCCTAAACATTCAGCCTGAGTGATCTCCTTCAAGTTTTAAGTTAATTCTTATTTAAACAAGCAACTATTGCAGTTAAGAAGGTATGGGCACCAAATCTGAAACCTTCATAAAATTATAGCTAAGGAGTAGGTAGGTGTTTTAAAACGATTCATTACAGAAGGATAGGTTTTTTGGCCTTACATAAACAGAAAAAAGAACCAAGCGAAAAACCAAAATAATCCCTCAAACCTCCTAATAAAGTTCCTAACAACAAACCCCAAAAGCACAACAGGAAATGACCATGTCAAAAGTATTCCATCTCTCCTCTCAGCAATTAAAACGGTATGTGGCTCACAGCGATGTGAGAAAAATGAAACATAATGGAGTGTAAGGGGACAGATAAAGGCTATTTTAAAATATATGACTGAAATGAGAAAAACACTGAAGATTGTATTTATGAATGATTTCATAATATGCACTAGATTTAAATGCTACTGTTTGGTACCCTACATGCAATCCATATTCCTCTGCTGTATTTCCTATCTCAGACACCGCAGGACATCTCACAGCTACTAGTGCCACTTAAGATCAGCATTCCATCCAAAACGGGGGAAAAAGCAGGCTTCAAAGACTTTTTTTTGTACTTAACCTTCCTAATCCAGTGGCATCTGAAGCATGCATCACACAATGACAGCACAAACTAAAAATTTATTTGTAGGTAACCTTGAACTCAACGTAGGCTACCTATATAATGACATAAATATAAATATTATCTCAAACAGGCCTCAAATGTGGATAATCTTCTAAAAATCATGAAGAAAGCACTATAAGCTTGTCCTACAAAGTCGAATTTTACTTACGCATTGCCTACTTCTTGCAACTTAAATCAGATCCTGTGTTTCTTCTTCTTAAGCATACATGTAGGCATTTACCATCACCTATTAAATTGTTGAATAGTTTGCCTTTTTACGCAACAGCTAGACGAAGAATGTCTGGGTAATTCCTTTTGACAACAAACTCAGTATTGTGAGAAGCAATTCTGTTCTAACCGGCCTGCAAGAAGGATCCAGGGTGTCAACTTACCTTTATAGTAAGTACTGTCTTCCATGTATCGGGATAAACCAAAGTCACCTAATTTCACACAGTCAGTGGCAGATACCAGCACATTTCTAGCAGCAATATCCCTGCCAAACAGAGGAGACATTGTTTCTAGTCATTTAAAACCTTAAAGGTGGTGAAATGTAATTTGAAAACCATTATTAAAAACCAGAAGTATCACATGCCTTTGAGAGGACTGAATTGTTTTTCTGGTCACGGTTTGGGTGTGCGTGTACACAAAAGGACAACCACATATTTGTCTTCTGATTCTGAGAAGCTTACAGAAATGCTACAGCACACTTGATGCTTTCAAGTAATAACCGTCATCCGACAGTATAACCGTAAATATCAACATCTGAGGAAAAAGTTTATCTGCATCTATTTAAATATCACAGGCTAACAGTTTTTGGCAATTAGAATTGATGGAAAGAAGAAAATCTGCCTCCTGACCCTGCAAAGCTAAGGAATTGGTTTAAGATCTCAGTTCTGTACGAGGCTTCCTGGTAAGGAGTTCGATTTTCAGTGATGCCCAGAGGGATTATGCAAAGACTTGGGCATTTTTCTCTTGCAGTTTCCCAGGTGAGACACCCGCCTCACGCGTCTGCTGATTCTAAATTTCAGCAGTCTTGACTACCTATTGACAAATTTAGCTCTGAGCAGTGAAGTACAGTGAACTGAGCAGTGCTACTTTCTCCCATTTCAGGATGGTATGAAAAGTTGTGTTCTGAAATTTATTGCTAGAATTCAACAGCTACTTGGCCAAAATTCAAGTACCTGTAACAACTGCTATTTACAATATTCCGATATACATATGTATGTATATAAATACACCTAATACTTACATAGGTATGTGTTTGTATCTACAATACATATAACACACAGAATTTGAACTTTAAAACACAAATAAAATGCTTGACTTCAAAATGAAACGATACATGATAACTGGACCGCTGTGAACTTCTAATTGCATACAACAAGATGCTAAGGCCAGTCTCTTCTCTCTAGAAAGCTCATTGTCAAATTCAAGGGAATACAATTTATAACATACCCAGAAAGATGTTTAGGTTCATTTTCTGGTAAAGCAAGTACTTGTATTTTATAAATATTTTGCTTTTCCTATTCTTTACTTACAAAGACAGCTGCCCCTTGTTTTGCTTTTCTGTATTCCGAAGAATACAGCTGACCCGCAGCTTTAAAAAATTATTGTAACCACAAAGCAACAACTCAACTGAAATCTAATCCAATTAAATCTGGCCCCACCTCCGAGTCGATCTCAGAGAGGGCCAGCAGGTGTCTCTCTTGAAAAGGCTGTGATTTTGTGGCAGCGACGTACTGATACACAAATTGACATGAAAGAGGAAAGTGGACTTTAGGAGTTTTAAAGCATTGCTGCTGCTGCACATTCACTGTAAGTCAAGGAAAAGAAATGCAAAATGAAGGTTTCAAAGAACCCAACTATGTGTTGTGTTTGTCTTCACTTGAGCAAGTGTATCTCACAGCCAGAACACTGCCAGTCAGAAATGTGGTAATTTAGAATACCTCATATTCCCTAAAATTTCAAGTAGTTACATACAAAAATATGCACGTAAACATATATATGTATAAAATCTTACCTATGTACAAATCTTTTGCTCTCTAAGTAGGCAAGTGCTGTGCTAAGTTGGTAAGCGTAGAGTATCAGAGAGGCGAGATCCAAGCTGTATTTTCTTACTTGCAAAAACGATCTCAACTTTTTGCACAAAGAAGGAAAAAAAGGAAAGAAGTTAGGATGAAAATAAATAACAAATTTGAACAAGGCACATCTCAAATTGTAAAGTTTACATGAGTACCAATGGGTATGCCTTCCCTTAAGACTGGATGAGAAAAGAAAATCACTTTCCATGAAGAAATTTGACTCTGGTTAAATTAAAACTTTTTTTTTCTACCTGAAAACTGTTAGCCAAACAAAAAATAGAAGTTTTGTGCATTGCTCTCAGGCTCCTTTTGAAGACTGAAGGCACATGCTGCTGCTGCTCCAGAGTAAAGCACTCTTTGACTTTTTATGCATTCTTCCCTTGAGAACTGCATATGGTCTTGTCCTAATTTCAGAAAAACACAGTGCGTGGCCAATCTGAACACTGACTAGATCAGTATTGTTTTGGAAGCATTAATTTTAATCCACATTTGCTAAAACAGCTGGATTAAGCTCATGGTAGCCAATATCAATGCAGAATTTTTGTAAGCTATATTCCCAGTACAAGGCAGTTAGGACCTAGTGGAAGGTGGCACCACAGTCTCCTTATAAATTAAAACAAGAATTTGAAGCGTTTTGGGCACTGGAAAGGAAATTTGTAATTTTTTGACAGAAAATCACTTCTCCACCACAGGCTTTTCTGCCTTCTGTTTTTTTCTTGGACCACACATTGCACTTGATAATTACAATGACGATCTTACAATGCAGTATGAAATACCACTTCAGTGAACATTTTCAGAAACACATAGCTCAAAGAAAACAAATTTATTATAAGAACAGATCTAGTTGTGTTTAAACCATTCATCCAATAGACAAAATAATGAGGCAAGTTCTCTTATCTAGGGTGTCTGCTGCAGAGACTGCACAGAAAAAAAAAGAAATTCAGTGCTCTAAAGGAAAACAGAATATTACTCAGGGAGAATAAAAGTGGTACCACATAATTTCACTTCTAGAAGGTATCTTTGCAAATGCTGTTTAAATGACATTGCTTTATCATCATCTTGACACAGGAAATGCCCTCACTCTGGAACTGCAATTGAATTCCCTGAAAAACATGACTAAATTACTTTGGTATGAGCTGATGGAGTTCTCTCAGTGGAGGAGTGAGGTCAAACACTGCCACTCCTCTTTCCGAGTCCATAATTCTACAAACAAGTACACCACGTTTGAGGAGAGTGCCTTGGTGGTGGTACTGAGAAGAGATGTCTTCGGTCTTTTGCAAAGATACCTGTGAGCCAAAGGAGGGCAGACCAAAGTGGCATGAGGATTTTCATACCTCCCCAAGTGTACAGAGCTCCATGATTATCCAAACTGGGTTTTCTGTAATCACTCCTATGAGCTTCACAATGTGAGGATGATCAAACTGACGCATGGTTACTAAAAGGAAAAGAAATAAGCTGATGCGTTACATAAAACCTTTTTAAAAATAAAAACAAGAAACTTGGTTAAGATCTATTTAGTCTGTGAATAGAAAATACAGTCACAGTTCTGCAGGACTTGAAACAAGTGCTTAGAAGCAATCATGTCTGGTCATTTCATGTTCTGCAGACAGTACAAAACACTGCTTGCTTTAGAAAACTGCTGTGGAAGGTGCAAGTGAGGTTCTCTGGCTCTTCTGCCCTGGCTGAGCATAACCTAAGTTAACATAATGACCTAGCAATTCAGCGTGTGACCAATTAACCCGTCTTTCTGTTAGTAGTGGAGGAAGGAGAAAACAGTATGCATAATTTAATGTCTGGAAAAATCGTGTGTCAGTTTATGACAAACAAAATCCTCATTGAATTATTACGTTCACATCTCATTTTATTTTCCACAGACCCTTCAGTCTCAGCAGAGCATCACAGTATATTTTATGCAATAAGACAAATAAATCATAGAATGGTTTGGGTTGGAAGGGACCTTAAAGATCATCCAGGTCCAGCCCCCCTGCCATGGGCAGGGACACCTTCCACTAGACCAGGTTGCTCCAAGCCTCATCCAGCCTGGCCTTGAACACTTCCAGGGATGGCGGATCCACAACTTCCCTGGGCACGATCACTGAAGCCCAGGCTACCTCCAGTCTTGGCCTCTCTGAAATGTTTTTCCGCATTAGGGAGCAACAAGTCCAGCAGTGCATCTCCTCTGCCTCTCCAGTAGTTTCCTGGGCTGCTTGCAGTTTTGTCTCCAGCAGATGCCCGGGTGGCTGAAGTCCCCTGTCAGGATCAGGACCTGCAAGTGTGATGCTTCCTGCAGCTGAAGAAAGAACTCTTCATCAACCTCTTCTTGATTGGGTGGTCTGCAGTACACACCAACCATGTTTCCTTTGTTGGCTTGGTCTTCAATTTTCACCCATAAGCTCTCGACCTGCACAGTCCTGTTCTTCAAAAACAGCTGTGTGCAGTCAATCTCATTTTTGGCACAGAGGGCAACTCCCCCAACTCTCCTTCCTTTCTGAATATTTTAGAGCTGTCAATCACAGCACTCCAATGATGCAATTCATCCCACCAGGTTTCTGGGGTAGCAATCCAGTTGTAGTTTTCCATTTGGGCAGCAGCTACCAGCTCCTCCTGTTTGTTTCTCACCCTGTATGAAGGCAGTTCAGCTGGAGTATCAGCCATACCCCCTTTTTAAAGGAGCTCACCCTAATTCCCTCGAGGCAATTCACAAGTGCTTCCCTGTTGCTACCTAATTCCTCAGCAGCCCCTGGCTCTTCTTGAGTGCTCAGAACTCCATTCCCTTCTCTGTTAATTTTAGTTTAAAGCTCTGTTTAGAAGTCCAGCCAGCTTATTGCCCATGACACTCCTGCCTCACTTGGCCAGTTGAGTCCCATCAGCTGTCAACAGGCCCAGTTTCTCAAAGATATGCCTGAGATCACAGAAGCCGAGACCTTGAGCACTGCACCAGATATGCACCCAGTCACTCACGTCTTCCATTTGTCTCCTTTTTCTTAAATTCTCTTCTCCTGCTGGGAGGATAGATAACACCACCTGTGCTGCTTATCCCTTTAACATCATTCTGAGGACATAACGTCTCTTCTGATATTTCTGAGTTGCCTCGTTGCAGCACCATTCGATGCTACTTGGCATAGTAGGAATGGGCGATAGTCCACAAGCTTTGCCAGCTTGGCAGCCTCTCCATGACATCACAGATGCAAGCTCCCAGCGGGCAGCAAACTTCTCTTAAAAATATTGTCTGGGTGACAGCTGGGTGCTTTGATGCCTCTCAGAAAGGAGTCTCCAATTCCTAACACCCTACACACTTATCTGGTGGCCCCAGTTCTAATGCGGGTGGGTAGCTGGACCACCTTTGCACAGCTGGCCTCTCCTGGGCCTTGCCCATTCCTCACTCTCTTCATTCTCCAGCCCCAGAACATCATACCTGTTATACAGGGGCACTTCACGGGGAAGATTCCTCCTCCTGCCTTGAGTAGAGATGAGGGTTCTCCTTTGTCTTGTGAGCTGGCTGCTACTGTCACCACACGGTTGGAAGGAAGCTCACCTTCCCTTTGCAAAGCCTGCAGGCAGGGCTGTTGCTCAGCTTGTGGCAGGGCGCAGTGCCATACATCTATCCCTCGCTCAGATGCCCAGATACTGCGCTGCCTGCTCAACTCCTCATGTAACACGGCCACTTGCTTGAAGAGTTCCTCCAGCTGGGCACGCTTGCATCCATGAAACCAACTCCTAGTCCTAGGGGGCTTCAAGGTTCCGGAGTTCCATGCAACTTTGGGTCTGGGAAGCTCCTGGGGGGTCAATGTGGGTGTCCCCATAGTGAGGTTTTATGACTTACACCCGGGTTTCAGTCACATCTTTGTAATTGTGGTAGGTAGAAACCATTTTGCTTTAACAGGAGGCTGTCTCTTCTGCTCCCAGAAGAAAACAGCCCATTAGCCAAAGGCCGCCCTCCTGCGCACCCAGCCGCGCCATGCCCTGTTTGCTGGCCCTGGTCGCCAGTGCCCCCCAGGGCTGGAGCTTCTCCAGGGGAGGGGTTGGCAGCGGTTGGTCCCGCAGCAGCACCGGAGCTGCTCGCCTCGGCAACGAAGTGCCAGTTTTGGTGACAGCGTGTTAAACCTCCCGCTAATCCTCCCGCCCTGCCCAGGCCTCCTCAGCTGCTGTGGCGGAGTGTGGGCTCACGGCAGGTGCCTCCGCTCCCCTCAGGTACCCTCGGTTCAGGAACTCCCCTGGAACATGTCAGTATGGAGCTGCTTGCCTCAGGGACAAACATCCCTAATTTAATCTTGACAAACACCCCAAATTCAATCTCAAAGTATTCTCTCTTTTACATTTACAGTGTGAAGTGTCAACAGAAATACATGGCAATTGCCAAACTGAAAAGTCTGCTTCGGTGCACCTAAAATTAGACAAGAATAAAACCCGCCAGCTTTTGGCTTCTGATTAATCGTAAACTAAAACCGTGTTTTTGGATTCCTGTTGTGATGAGCTCTGAATTCTACTGTCCACTGGTAAAGAGCAGCTGTAAAACCGACACATCTTGCAGCACCACAAACCCCAAGAAGAATCCTTGGCAAGGATGTTTATAAGACCTAACCTAATAGTTTAATAACATATTTTCCTGCAAAGAAATGTACATGGGCAAACTTAAGATACTCATTAAAATATTAACATGTTATGGATAATGCAGAACAAAAATTCAGTAAAACAAACATCCCTATCAATGACCTAGCCTAACGCATTGTTAGAAAGGAATAAATAACGTGGTGAAGTGTCAAATGGGCAGTAACAACTGCTAAAATATTACACAGAACTGAAGCTAGATTCCAAAATCATTCAATTCCCCTCATCCCTTTTGAAGTAAACAGAATTTCAGAGAGGGAAGTTTTTCTGATGCCTCAAAGAAAGGTGCATCGCTAAAGCAGTTTACCTGAACCCAATGTTAGTATTAAAATCTTGGTAAATAAAGTGTATATTCCAAACAAGTCCCAGTTATTTAGCTTAAAGGTTCCTTTGTACTAATCTAACTCAATGCAATTTACAATGTCTTAGAACATGGAAATGTTTCTTCACTGAGGTAAAACTGAAGCAGGAATACAGTTTTAGTTATCAAAGGAAAGGCAATTAACACAAACATTTTTGTATCATATGGTCTTACCAGTTTTAAACATAAAATACTGTCGGAAAGTACTTCCCAGAAATTAATTCCATCAATGTTAGCTGAAAAGCTCACAAATTCAGAAAGGTAGCAGAGCTATTACATCATTTTTCATCCAGCTTCTCGAGGAAATGCAGAAAGGAACAATTTACCAAAGATCTATAAACATCTCCCCAGATCAGGTGGTTTGTATTTTAGCATACACAAATGCATTAATAGTAATACAGTGCTACGCAAAAGCAGACAAGAATGAAGAGACAGGTGCTGCTTGTAAAAACACCTTTTGTCTACATTTATTCCGAGGTGTTCCTCCCTGCAAGAATCAATACTGTATCTTTTGAGCACTGAAAACTCCACCAGAAGCAAACTACTAGAACCGAAAAATACTTTAATATTCCTAATAATAAAATAATGTATTAGAAAATAGATTTCTTAATTCAGTGAAATAACCAACTCTGCCTCTCCAGATGTTGGATTTTGGCCTTTTGAAGATTGCTCTTAAAATCTAGGAGGCAATTATCTTCTGAGAGAGTTTACAACGTGAATGCAAACAGAGAAAGGTAACAGATGGGAACTAGAATTAAAAAAAAAAAGAAAAGAAGAAATGGCAAAACTATTAAATCAAAATTGAAAAGCACTATTTATCTGTCTACTACGATGGCATTTCCTAATCTGTCGTGCTCAAAGCATAATAAGGAGCATTCAATGAGCAATTATTTTCTACATTGTTAAGCGACAGCAGCCTACCTTTGACTGCTAAGTTATTACTATAAGCAATAGTATTTACTTTTCCAACAGCTAGAAATGGAATGGAAAAAATTATAGTAATTTCAGAAAAATCTGACATCCAGAAATAAGAAGCCATTAGCTACCAACACAGATTTTCTGAACAATCAGGAAAAAAGCCTTGAACAAAGGAATAGATGAATAAAAGTATACTGAAGCATCTAGCCATAATCAAGTAATTTCTTGATATAATACAATAGCTTTATGAGATTTACAGATATACAATAGCAGAGGATAACAAATGAAAATTAAGACTTACAAAACTAAACAGTACGGAAATCAGTAACTACATCAAACTTCTAGAAGTTTTCCATTAGTATTCATCCGAAAAAAAAGCCTTCCTCCACGTATCAAGTGTGCCGTTTGGGGAATGCAATATTTGTGGGCAATTATTTAGGAAATAGGTTTATTAAATCAGAAGTTTTAATTCTGATTTTTCAAAGAGAGCGCTCTTATTTTAGCAACTTCATTAAAAGAAGACAATCCTGACTTTCCAAAGTATATACACTGAAACAAGTGCTATGTTTTTTTAATTCATGAAGGAGAAAGAAGGAAATAGAGGATCAGATCTCCAATATTATAAAACTGGTTCTGAAGCATTACAGGAGTCACTCATCACTGTTCCATTTAGAACATCAAATAACCCCCATATAATCATGTACATGGGCACTGCAAGGATGTAAAGCAGTCTTCTGGCACATACTGCAGGAGAGGAAAAGGTCATGCTATATATTAATATAAGATTTACAGTAGTATCAGAAGCTTCTGGCACAGATGGCTGCACAAGAACCAGTCACAGAAGCTACCTCAAAAGAAGTATTTTAATACTCACAGGCTTCTTGTAAGAATTTTTCTCTAACGCTGTCTGAGGTGCAGTTTTTACATGTTTTGATTGCAACAGCCATAACTGGATTTTCCTGAAAGACATTATTGAGAAACAGCTGAAATACAGCCCACCACATGCTAAGTCCTTTAAAATTCTAGAAAAACTGATTTAGAGAAAATTACTATTAACTAAAATATATTTAGTTAAAAATAACACTCTGAAAGCTTCAGTGTTAAAATATTATAATCAACACACTTAACGCACAACATTTACATCTAATATGTCTAGGAAATACTTATTCCGTTTCAAACTGTTGAACTGTACAAAAAAATATGACAAAATATAGTAAGTTTCATTGAATTGTACTGGAAGTTCTTTGTGTTATTGGGGATGGTAAACTCTTGACAATATTTAGCAAAAACAGAGGAAAACAACTAGATATATGCCTAAAAAATGCACTTGACTACGTAAGCAAGCAACATGGGAAGCCAAATAAAGACCTTTTTGTGGCTCTTGCAGAGCAAAGACTGGCTATAATTTTGAACTCAACCTACAAAGGAAAGTAAACCAAAGAATATTACAATTTACTTTCACAACCAGTTATATCAAGGGCTTAAAACTGAGTGAAACAGAACATATGTATTCAAAATCAGAAACAGATTTTACCACCTGACTGCTTATCCTCTGAATACTGAAAAATGAGAAGCACTGAAACAGGCCGAAGGAGGCCTCTTGGTTCAGGCAGCATCTTTCATCTTCTCTTGCTTTGGTGTGTTTTACATCCTTTCCATAAGTTACAGACAGCACAGACAAGCAAGCTGCAAGCGTTTTTCTCCTGAAAAGAAGCTTTAGGTCTCTGAGCTTCACTAGTATTCAGAATGCCATGACTTACTTAGAAAATGGTATTTTAACACCACAGCGTATCCCCACAGCAACATATAGTGCTCCGAAGATGTCACTCGTGTAAATTCTGAATGGGCTGAAAGCAGCTGGAGTGTTTTAAAATTAATCTTCTACATCAAATACAGGCCTGCTCAAGGACTGGTATGCCTTCCTTCTAACTGGGAAATTGGGAATTGTGCACTGTTTAATGGGAAGATTACTTAGGAACTTTTCCCTGAAAGGCTACAGGGTTAATGTGTGTCCCCACCGAGTTTTTCAGGGCAGTGAGAGCTAAGATTCTCAGAGTCATGTCTACATCTGATCACACTTGCTCTATTTTAAATCTATATTTACAGACAAACATCAGAATTGGAATAATATTTACATTTTTCAGGCTTAAACGCCTATTCTCTAAGTTACTCATAATATACTCTTCAAGTTGACTTTGCAGGAAAATACTGTTAAAACCTCTCAGACACAGGTATGCCCACAAACTGACTGAAAACCTGGGAAGTTAAGACGATTTTATTCCCTTCTGAAATCAGGATTCAAAAATCAACACTGGATGAGACCTCTGGAGGCCTGCCACACCAATCCCTCTCCTGGTGTTAAAGATGAAGCTTTTGAAGCATCGACTAACCAACGTTAGTATCAAGAGTTTCTGTGTCTGTAACCCACAAAGACTCTAGAAAATGAGTATAAGAAAAGGCCCGATCTCAGGGTTTTGCTAATCTTTTGGGTTTGGATAAGGAGTCAAAACAGTGAGGATATATCAGACTGGCAACAATCTGTGTACTAAGCAGCAAACACTATTTTAAACGACACTTTTGGATTAATCCCACAGTAGATCAGCCTTCAAAGACAGTCTTACTTGAATTGCTCGCACCGGAGCAACAGGATCCTATAACTATACATACATTTTCGATTCAGTCTCCTGTAAATACAGGCTGGTTGTGATACTTTAGGCATAACTAGTAGTAAGCAGCATTCCAGAGAGGTGGATGCCGCATAGTCAATAGAATAAGAACTTTGCAAGTGATAGGAACAGGGATAAATGAGATTTTTCAGATTCAAGTTTGAGCTAGCAGAACAAGAGCCCTGTGTTTTTGCATGCAAGACAAATATATACAAGGATGGAAACACTATCACGTTACTGTAACTAATCTTTTATCCATTGTAAGATTTCTTCCAAAAGTTCAAGTTACACTCTGTGACTAGTACATTAAAATTTAATGATAATACCTTCCTGTTCTCCCTTCACATATTCAAGCGTTTTAAATGTAGTAAAATTTTATTACTAAAAGTAATAAACAGGTTGCCATTCAAAAAACTCTTATTAGACACTGCGTAATTGAATACAATCTGTTTTCTAATTCAAGAAAAAGAATGGAGGCAGACAGCATTTTCAAAACAACAGTCCCTAAGAAAAGAGGTCTTTAATTGGTTTTACAGACTACTAGATTTATCCACTGTGCCCCAAGTGCAGTGAAACATTACTCCTCAAGTACTCCGGTGAACTTGGACAGGATTAAATAAAAAATAAGAAACTCCCTTAATGCAAAGTGTATCAGACCTGCTTTTCTAAATGTTCTAAATCAGAATAGACTTCAACCTTGTCTGAAATAGATAACACTTATCCATATTTATTTACTTGAATATTACGTCAAAGATTTATTTATTTAACCCATTGAGCCCAGGACGCTAACCAGCTGTTTCGGGGAAATACTGTTCCTGAAGTTAGAACTTGATTGTTGTCCACATGAATTACTACGTCATCTATCAAAAATCCAGACGATTTCTTCAAATGAGAAACCCATCTTAATTTTACACTTGCAGAATTAGTTTATTATAAGCTTGAAATGGGTTGAAATTAATTAATTTCCCACATTTCTCTTGCCTTTTCCCACAAACTTAATTTTTCATCCACGTAAACTGCAATCTTAATCTTTGTGGCTGCAGTCTAGAAAAATACCTAAGCGCCATCCTAAATTACACAAATCCTGCCAACTGGTTTCACTGAGGTGACTCTTGTGCACTGGGGCTTTGCTGGATCAGTGTCCTAAGTATTTTGTATCTTTTCTTTCAGGAAAAAGGAGTAACTTTATTAAAAGCTTCTTTGTGAGAGAGATAGTGAGTCGGTCACGGGAGAAACAGACACATTTGTTTAACATTATTGTCCCTCTGCTGTAGGCTACTGCTCTTCCAGCGTAACAGAGTAGAATTTCTTCTCTCTGTTTCAGCACAGAAGTTAGATTAGCTTATCCTGACACAGTTGGCAGCTTCTACACTGAATACTGAACTGAAACCCAAGCCAGGCTGAACACTGATAAATACAGTTTTACCTTTTGGAAAAGACTCTAAAGCACTGAACAATAGATGGGGGAGTATGGCCAAAGGCACATGTGCTTACCATGCTTGGACACACTCAAAATAAAGGAGAGAGTGTACGGTTGGGGTTAAAAGCAATGACTCCTAATTCGGCTCAGCCTGTAGCTGTGCTGTGGTCCCAAATAATTCTCACCTGGCTCTTCTGATTCCTTTCCCAATCTATAAATAATGGGGATATAGAAGCAGAGAATCTACTCTGGAACTAGTTTTCTACTTATCTGAAACTCGGTAAGTATCCTCTACATGCTGATTATTCTAAAAATAAATCACAAAGTCAATTTTTATGTGTTCTGGAAGACTCAGATCAAGGCATCTAAAGAACACATTTTTATTTTACTTTTTAACTAGAAAGGTTTTATTGTTTGTCTGGTTTTATTTCAGAAGTGAGGCTTACCGGACTCATGTAAACTCCTTGGTGTACATCTCCAAACTGTCCTTCACCAATGCAGCGCCCCAGTTCAATTCGTTCCCTTTGAATTTCATAATCTCTGGCTACAAGAATATAACGCACTTAAAACACTAGATTTCTGATGAAAGGCAAAGAATTAACCCCCGATATACAAAACTCAAAGTAAGTCACTCAAATGTCTCACATATGAATAACTAAGATTAACATTTGCTGCACACCAACCTACACAAATGCTGTATACACACAGTGGAAATCTCTTAAACAAATGTTGGAACCAAAGCAGTGAAAAAGGAATTGTGAAATCTAATTTGCTAAATTAACTACTATGAATTATTTATTGCAATGCAAGAGACATAATTGAATCCTTCTTAATTATAGCTACTAAAAGACAAAGAACACAGATATCCTAGGGCGATACCGATTATATCAAATACAGCCTTAGCACACATCCTTTCAGATGTTTAAGAGAACTCCACTATGTGGTATTTTAGCTCTTGGAACCATCAAATCAGCCCAGAGAATTTTTAAAGAGGTAACTGCAAGAAAAATTACAGAAACAAGAGCATAGCAAATAAAGATAAAATGAAAGAGCAAAATTTTGAGTGCACTACACCTCTGTCAGTGTGCCACTGAAGTAAAATTGGTACGTTTTGTGGACTTACACAGTTCTGCTAACTTTGTGGTTTAACAGACTGAGAGCATTACTGATAAAATGGCTCAGTACTTCAGCAAAGCATTTGATCAATTGCAACTGAATTACTTCATTTGCAATTACGTTGCTAGCAGACATGGAAAAATATTTCAGGAATAGCAGAAAAGCATGTACAGTATATGTTTTCACCTCTAATTGTATTTATTCAGAGCAAAAAAATATAACCAATCAGCTTAGGACTTCATGAGTGATGATTCTGACTTCATTAACACTACAGAAATAATGTCATCTAGAGCTGGATAACAAAAAGATAAATGCCTTTTTCATTTCTTTTGTTTTAAGTACTGCATTTTCCTCTTTAAAATCCCAAAGCTATCTGGTTTAACTAGAAATAAATAATGTTTATTAAATGAAAGTGAATAGTAAACTTAAAAATTCCACATCATTCCAAACTGCAAGCATTCAGGGATGGGTAAAGGGTCTCCTGTTACCTTCATCTATTCCATAGCTTTCTGCAGTGCAATTAAGAGAAAAATCAGATGCTTACTTAGATATAGCTTTTTAAAATCAAGACAAGGACAAACATTTTCTTAACATTTTTTTTAAAAATGAAGAAACATACTGATGCAATTTTAAGTTTACATTAGCAGAAGTCACAGGTCTGTTCTTGTGATCGTTACTGCCTCAGTCCTGTGAGAGCTGAACACTTGAGTCCACTTCAATCCAAGAAAGCACTTAATGAATTTCACTTCAACTGCCCATCTCACAGGCTTTGAACTGAAGGCATACTTAAGTGTTTAGCATCATCCAGGGCTGGGCCCACAAATAATAACTGCCATGAGAATTTAAATGAAAAGGTTAGGGAAAAAAAACCAACCCACACAATTAACATATTAACAAAAATAAAGGATATCATTTATCACAGTATTTTTTGATCCTGCAATTATTTTAGTAGAATCGTGTAGTGACTGACTGCCAGACATTCAGAGCACATTGCTTATTTCTGGAAAACATATATTCTTGCTTTTCAAATATTTATGTTCAAACATATATGTTTTTCAAAACATATATTCTTGCTTTTCAAATACTTTCCACAGTAGTGGAAACTATGTTGTAAACACTGAAATGATTATGAAACATTCCTGCCACATGGTAAACTCTAGAAATCCTTACATACATTCGTGGTTCTTGAGCAGAACACTGTACCAGTTTAGCACCAGCCTCCCCTCTTACACTAACCAAACTCAAGGTTGTTGCAGGTCTGCGTATCAATGGATTGGTGATGGATTCTGGAGAAATCCTTGGTTGCCAAAATGCAACTGTAATTTCACAGACACAACTCGTAAAATCAGAATACTACATTTTCACATGAAATTAGTTCGCCTTGACAGTTTAGGATCCTATTGTAATTCAAATATACCATGAGACAAAACCCTTGTGGTGGCTAATGCATCTTTTTTTCACTTCAAACATGAAGACTCAGAAGAACTTTGAATTTTTATTTTTGTTCCTGAATTCTTTCATCTAACAAAATTGCATGCGGCATAGATGACTTTCATCTATCATGGAATCTGAGAGCAGCCCATCTGTCGCAGAGCAAGGGTGAGATACAGTTAGACAGCAATATGCAGAAGCTTTCCAAATTGCTCTGATCACAGAAATCCTATCCATTATTTAATTGTTGTGTTCAGCATCACAATCAAAAAACCTGCATTTTGAGACATAAAGAGAATTTCACTGAGAAGTCACTGACAGCAGCAAGGCAGAACTTGGATTTATCTGCTTCACACCCTCAACTTGAAAACCACGGAATCTGTGAATTTTCAAAACATCGTAAAGAGTATTTTCTTTGCACATGTATTACACAGGGCTGACATATAAGATTCAGCCCCTGTTAAACCAAAAAGCTTTCGGATAGAAACGTTCCCAAGTTAACTATCATACTTACTTGATGGCATTGTGTAAGTATCTTCTTCATCTATAATCTCTGCATAGTCATCTGTCTCTGTAAAGGGAGGAATTGAAAAGTTTCGGGAAAAGCAGGTGAAAACAATTCTCCAGAACAATATCTCCAATTTATCAAAGCTGATGTCACAACCCCCAACTTAAACATTGCTGGGATGCATTTAGAATAGCATGAATAAAACTTGCTCATGCATAATTTATGGTATGATAATGACCTCGGTGCCAATTATGTAACGTCACATAGATGCATACAATAAGGAATAAAAGGAAGATTCACTTGTATTCAAAAAGTTCTAGTTCTGTAATTGAATCCCATCTAATCTGCTGACTTAAAAAGAAAATGTTTTTAACAGCAAATTCCACTGCAGTAAGGACAAAAAATCATTAATGGATTAAATTGTTTTACCTTCAATTAAGGTGAGAATAACAGTTTGCTAGTTTTTTTGTGTTGAACAGGCAGAACAGGCAGTAAAGAAGTTCCAGGGCAGCATGTACCTACTGCCACCGTGGCGAGTTATTTTCCATAGTCTTCTAGAGCATAAAGATCTTTTAAGTCACACTCACACCTTACACCCATTTTTCTTTCATTAGTCTCAATTTTCCTGTCAGGGACACTGTTTGAAAACAACCAGTTCTCAGAATTTTCCAAAAAATATTTCTTCCTCAGTTTAAAACTTAAGACTTTCACATCATCTGTTCTCAAAATGCTTTAAATGGTGTCAAGTCATACCAGAAGGTCCTTCTCTTGCTCTAAAGCACTTCCAGTGAGGGTAGGTCATTTCCTAAAGATCAGGTAATTTCCTCTGGGGGTTATAAACCCAGTGATTTTTCACTGCAAGGGTGTCAAATTCTACTCATCAACTTCAAATGCATAGAGAGGTTCTCAACATGGAGTGATTTCAAATGTGGTATTTGCATGGTTGGTTCCCGGTCATCACATATTGGGCCACCTCTGAAAGGCATCATCTACTCCCCCTTTTTGCCCATCTGCCCTGGAGCATATGCATATCCTTACAATCCCCTGGCATCACTTCTACAAGTATAGTTTCTGAACGGTTTACTTTTTTTTTTTTTTTGTGGTTTTGTGGGACAAAGCATCAGTGAGTCTGGAAATAAGAATGGGGTGATCCCTTTTTGGCAGTTCAGCCAACTTGAGCCAACTTTGAAATCAGAGGAAGGCTCCTAAGTATTATACACACACAAAACCAAGAGGCTTAATTCTCATACAGAACGAATATTCAACAATTGCAAGACTACAGGTTGCCTATAACCATTTATTTCGGTGAGTAAATGTAGTTTTACGATCCTAACTTTGCTCTACTTAAATAAAATTAAAGCTATTTTTCTTTTGAACTCCTGCAGGAATATACCGTGTCTTGTAAAATCAGAATCAGTAAATTCTATGCCATTTAAATTTTTGCTAGGCAATTTCTATTTAGGACACAGCAAAAGAGAGTCACCTAATGAAAATTCAATTAATTATAAAGACAGCGCACGATTCTAAACTGGCAGCATATTCCAGAGGCACTAATTTCTGCCTTGGTATGCTTTTTCCTCCCTGCATTATAAACAATTGGTTCTATAGAAAATAAGCCCCAGTTTGATCTGAAAAAATAAGCATCCATTTGAAAGAAATCGTTAGTGTGACACCAGTTTGAGGGGGATCAATCATTTTGCTTCCTTATAATATTGCAGCAAGATGTTTTTAACTTTTGTTGTGTCAAATATATCAACTATTGTTGTAAGCTAATATTTGAGGATGGCAGAAAATTCTTAATCTGTGTTAAAAAAAAGGGACTAAAATAAAGATATTAAAAACATATTTAGAAGAATTTAAGAAGTTTGGAAACTAGAACTGGTCTCACACCGGTCTTTAAAAATATTTGTCACACTAGATCGTGGAACAGTGCTTACAAAATGTGATAAATGGCTTGGCTTGTTCACCTCCCTATTTTAAATTAATAAAGTTATTTCGTATTAAAGCATTATCAGAACGCCACAGAGCACTTTACATGGTTTTGATACGCTGCCTAAAACCATCCCGATACTAAAAGGGTCTTCAGTAGCAAATCCAAATGAAGTAAATGTATGCAATTAACTAAACAAATATCTGTTGTCACACATTTAACACTCTGGAGAGGAGTATGTGATAAGAATTCAGAAAATAATTTCTATACGTGTCTGGCATTGTTTCTGGGAATTAGAGCAAAATTCAATCAAGGCATTAACAGTGATGTGCTCCAAGTGTTCTGCAACCAAGATAGCTGACCACTCTCACATTCAGTCTTCACCCCACGATTACAGTCGTATAGTATGAGACTATTACCAAGTCTGCTAAGACTTGGACTATGTCTGCTAAGAGGTATTTCAAAACCCACGTGGAGGCACAAGCAAAACTCAGCTGGGTAAGGCCCTCCAGGCTGCTTTACAAGGAAGGATGTGCAATAGCAGTCTTAAGAGCCAAACACTCCTAACAAAGCAGTGATTCCAGGAGATGCGCTACCTTCAAGGCCCTTGATAAATCTAGAAATCTTTTAAAACTCTTTTTAAAATAGGGTTCATTCTTGTTGCCCATTTTAAAACCAGCACTGAACCATTTCGCCTGTTGGTCGACCCTAGGTTCTTCTAGATGGAAAAATGAGCAGGTTCGTTTTTGGACAAAGACAGTGTTGGTGGTACAGATGAACGAGCCGATTTGAGCTTTACTAAATCTGAATACATTTATTAAATAGTAGAAAAAACCATCTGAGGATATTAAATCAATAATAGCTAATCCGTGATCTTAACCACCTGTCTGAAATTTCCCTTTTCATGTTTTTTTTTTCCATTTAACAGAGCGCATAATTTATAAAAGAAGATAAGCACTAATAAAAAGCTATGTAGGGTTAGTATCTGAAATATAATTTCTTAATTTATGATAGAAAACATGTCCTCTGATACTTGAATGTGTAAGAAAGGAAGAAAATCAGGGTAGTATTATCTCCTATTTATATCTGAAGCAGAGAAAGATGAAAACACCCCCTTTACATTTGACGTGAGAGGAAGGCCACAAGACATTATCTCTGTTTCTTCTTCTCACCTTCCTTTGCATAGTGCTTTTTATGCTCTTTTAATGCCTCCTGCTTACAAGAATAGATACATGCACTATCAGTAGTAGCCGCTGGATTTTTTCCCAACATCAGCTAGAGTAATTTATCAAAATAGATAAAAATTTCTTTAAAAAACCCCAAACCAAAACTCAACTTGTTTTCAGAGGTTAGCAAGTTAAAAGACTTACAAAGACTGGAGAAGTTAAAAACTTTGTAGTAACTTTCAAAGTTTTAAAAATTAAAATCTGTATTTAAAACCAGAAGTTTCAGTAGCTGAAACACGATTATTATTTCATTTATTCAATCTGCATTAAACTATCCTTTTACACAAGGGGCAGCAGTGGACTACAGTGCACTTTGCTGCTACCATGCCTTTAAACCACCACTCAGACTAATTTTTCACGTTTCATCCACTGATCTCACCCACCGACCACAAAAAATCTGTGATATAACCATTTCAACCAAACTGAATGGACACTCTTGCAAACCCATAAACCTTCTTAGCATCATGCCAGAACTCTCATCGCATGCAGTACCATATCCCTGTGTGTTTGAAAGAGTTTCTCCTTTTTCAATTCCAGTTTAGCAGAAAGTGTTAGTCGCACAGCCTGTAAAGTACAATATTATTGGCTAATGTCCAAAGCAGACTGTTTTTTAACACTAAAATCTGTACAGAATTTATTACTGAAATGTGCATTAAGTGGTATATGGATATAAGAGTTGCATATTGCACGTTAGTAACACACAGACTAGAAAACATATTACCGTCCCCACTAATTTCATCTGCAGATCCAGGTGGCATGCAAGGAAAGAGAAAAACAGAGGGGGAGAGAGAAGGGACAGAGAAGGGGAAGGGGAAAATAGACTATTAAATTCATGAGTAATCCAAAAAGTATTCAGACTGCAGTTACATTATATACCTGACCCAAGAGAAACCAGAAAAGTAGCAGAATTTAAGCCTTCTCACCTAAAACCCAAGGGACAAAGATATGTTCTAAGAAGCTTGTATGATGAAACAGAATTAATGACTTTCAAACGCAAATTTACACAAAAATTAAATTTGGGAGTGGAACTATTTTAACGTATTGTTAAGAAATGCCAATTTCTGGTTCGAGTCAATACTTCATTCCAAAACAGATCTCCTACAGCCAGGTGAGTCAGTTCAATTTGACTTTTCACACACATTTCTGACTTGGGATAACTGGAGCTGGCGTTCACCCTTTCAAAGGAAATGCACTCCTGTGCAATCACTAAGACACGAGTAAAAATGGAGCCATCTATGTTTTAATTATACAGAGCACACTGCAGTTCTACAAAGCTGAAAATTAAGCGAGTGGCAAACAGAGCAACTCTACTGGGAAGCTGTTCAAAGGAACACCATATTCCACGCTTATGGTAGCAGCCCTAATCCACACCAATACCCCCAGCACAAGCTGATGCACTTTAGACATTATTTATAAATAACAGGAAAGTGAGCATTATTGTTGTATAAGTAACACAACTATTACTCCAATTCTTCTTAGCCCTAAACAAAGCCAAACTGGTCCAGAGCAAATGCTGAAAAAAAAAAAGCATCACTGTATTCAATATTTAATTCAAAGTGATGCTTATTGTTGCTCGTCTATTTAATTCATTAGCATGCTGTATCAGGGGTCCAAGAATGAAGTAAAAATATATTAACCAAGAACCTCAAAGGTATACAGGGCCTGCACATGTATACAAATGAAATTATTAAAATGTTTGTCATTGTAGAATATGATGCTTGAAACTAAGTCCCCTATAAAAACGGGGACCCAGCAAGTTGCATGAAAATCCAATTCAGCAGGCGGAAAGGGGTAGCAGAAATTTAATGAAATTATTCTTGGAACTCTGTTTACCTGAGGCTAAAGTAGTAAAAACCCGTAACTGCATTAGGATATTCAGCTTTTGGGTTAACAAGGCAGCCTATACA